CTGCTTAGTGAGTGAGACCGTACATTTGAAGGTCTAGGACGCAAGGAGGGGAACGAGAAGAAGGCACGTTTTCAAAATCGGCTTGCTTCACCGAAACGGGGTTGGCATGAAAGGAATTTGAGGCGCATAGGGAACGACTTTTGGGACGCCTTAAGAATGAAATAACGAATTGGGAGCGCATATAAGCGACCGTCTTTAAGGATAATGAGTTGGACAACTGTCACGGTTTCTGAGGCGCCTAAACAAATCTTCTCAACAGGGTTTCAGAATAGAGAGTAAGAGAACTAATGAGAGGGATTGGAGGAGGAGGTGGGAGGGCGAAGGAACCGTACTGCTTCGTTTGTGGAGTATGTGAAAGGTGGGAGGAGGCAGAAGAGCGCTCATTAGGATGGATGGATGGAGATAGAAAATGAAAGCCCATCCAGTGGTGTTGCCTGCCGACATACAGGCATGCAGCGTGCGCGGAAACGTAACGAGTAAAGGAATGGAGCGCATGAGAAGGGGTACGCATGACATATGGCGTGGCGTGGCGTGGCGTGGCGTGGCGTGGCGTGGCGTGGCGTGGCGTGGCGTGGCGTCACACACCTCTTTTTGGAAATCATCTGGTCGCACCCGCCCCACCCGTGCACGTTTCACAGCCCACACCACGCCCCCATCTCCCCCATCTCTCCCATCTCCCCCGTCTCTCCCCTGGGCACCAGCAGGTAGCGGCTGCACTCCCCTGTACGTATCCCCACTGCGCCCTGTGCCTATCCTGCTCTGCGCTGCCCACCCTCCCGTGGCATGTGCGAGCTCTTGCAGAGTGAAGCGGCGGCACGCGTGCACTTGCGGTGGCGTGCTGGCAGTGGAAGGAACAGAGGCGACTGATGAGGCAGAGTGGTTGGATAATCCTGCCGGTGGTGGTGGTGGAGGGAGCGGGGGGGTGGGGAGCGGGGGAAGGACTTTTGAGGCGCCTCAAAAGCACGTTACGGTGGCCTGCTGGCAGCGGAAGGAACAGAAAAAACTGATGACGCAGAGTGGGTGGATAATCCTGGCGGTGGTGGTGGTGGGAGCGGGGGGTGGGGAGTGGGAGGTGGGGGTCGGGGGCGGAAGAAGGACTTTTGAGGCGCCTCAAAAGCACGTTGCGGTGGCGAGGCGACTGAAGACGCGGAGTAACGGAGGCGACTGAAGACGCGGAGTAACAGAGGCGACTGAAGACGAAGACGCAGAGTGGGTGGATCCTCCTGCTCCTGGTGGTGGCGGTGGTGGCGGGGAGGGGGGAGGAGGTGCGGGGGTTGAGAGGATGGAAGAGAGAAGTAAGAGAAGAGGAGACGAGAGAAGATGGAGAGGAGAGAAAGAGGGGAGTAGAGACCAGACGAGATGAAAGAGAAGAGAAGAGGAGAGAAAAGAAGAGAAGTGAAGGGAAGGGAAGGGAAGAGAAGAAAGAGAAGAGAACAGAAGTGAAGGGAAGGGAAGAGAAGGAAGGGAAGAGAAGAGAAGAGAAGAGAAGAGAAGAGAAGAGAAGAGAAGAGAAGAGAAGAGAAGAGAAGAGAAGAGTAGAGTAGAGAAGAGAAGAGAAGAGAAGAGAAGAGAAAGAGAAAGAGAAAGAGAAAGAGAAAGAGAAAGAGAAAGAGCAAGAGAAAGAGAAAGAGAAAGAGAAAGAGCAAGAGAAAGAGAAAGAGAAAGAGAAAGAGAAAGAGAGATGAGATGAGATGAGATGAGATGAGATGAGATGAGATGAGGTGGGATGAGATGGGATGACAAGAGGAGAGGAGGAGAGGAGAGGAGAGAAGGGAAGAGAAGAGAAGTGAAGGGAATGGTAGGGAAGGGAAGAAAGGAGGAGAGAAGAGAAGATAAGAGAAGTGAAGAGGAAGCATGCGGAGGAGGAGAAGAAGTGTTGAATGTGAGGGGGAGGCAATGAATGCAAGGGGTTGGGGACACGACTAACCAGGTAGAGGGATGAAGAGCGGGTGATGGCACGGCAGCACACCGTAACAGCAGCAACTCTCTACCTGGTTCCAATAGGTTGGTGATTTTACTTGCTTGACTGACTTGAGCGGTTTGACAGGCTTGACCGGTTGGACTGGTTGGACTGGTTGGACTGGTTGGACTGGTTGGACTGGTTGGACTGGTTGGACTGGTTTGACTGGTTTGACTGGTTTGACTGGTTTGACTGGTTTGACTGGTTTGACTGGTTTGACTGGTTTGACTGGTTCGACTGGTTCGACTGGTTTGACTGGTTTGACTGGTTCGACTGGTTCGACTGGTTCGACTGGTTTGACTGGTTTGACTGGTTTGACTGGTTTGACTGGTTTGACTGGTTTGACTGGTTTGACTGGACTGACCGCGTGTGAATTGCTGCTGCCGCCACCACCACAGCTGCTGCATCTGCCGCTGCTGCTGCCGCGCTCACCTGAAACTGGTGTGTAGCTCTTCCGTTGCCCCGTGTCCACCTGAGGTGGCCGCTTGCCCGCCGTCTTGCAATTGCTGCCTTTGGGGGCTGTGTTGATTCGGTTGACTTCTTTGACTTGCTTGCCCAGCACGCACCCCATCACAGCCACGGCTACAGGCGCAGAAGCTGCTACAGACGCAGACGGCGCTACAGATGCTAGGGGAAGCAGAGATTGCAACTGCTACAACCACGGCTTCTGAAAGGAACGAGAGTCGGAAGGTTCGCGCGAGAATGGGTTCGAGAAATGGGTGGTGCTGAGTGGGAGCGTGGGAGGGACGGCGATGCTTTGGAGCGTGACAGGTAGATAAAGATTTGTTGAAATTCCGGGAGAGGGACGGAGGAGGTGGGAGCAATGCGACGCGGTGATCGTGTCGTCACCGTAGCAAGGCACCGATTGCAGCAGCAGCAGCAGCAGCAGCAGCAGCAGCAGCAGCAGCAGCAGCAGCAGCAGCAGCAGCAGCAGCAGCAGCAGCAGCAGCAGCAGCAGCAGCAGCAGCGAGTCACACGCACGCACGCGTGCGGCCTCTTCCTTCCAACTGCTCGCTCGAACTCCGTGAATAAAAACAGAGGCGAAATGTTTTTTTCTGAAACGTCTTAGTACGATTCTTTTCCCACAAAGTACTTGCGACAACGGTTCCTAAGAGCTCCGCGCAGAAGTTGCCTATATAATTAGACGACTTTTAGTCGACTAAAAGCACGACTTGCCTAAAAAAATACTCAACTGCACGAGCCGCGACCTCGCGCGGACACCTGATTGACATACTGCATTAGTCTCTAGGCCTTCAAATGAACAAGAAGAAAAACAGCAAGGCAACGACAGGATTCTTGGTTCAGTTGAACTCGAGAGGCAACCACTCCCGAAACTGCATTAGCAAGCACACACACGCAAGAAGGCTCTTCCTTCCCCCTCGTTGTGCTTTAGCATTGCTCCGTTATTGGTTGTTTGCTATGCCTATGACGTGCTTTTCAACTTCGCCGTGCCGTGTTCGTCACGTGCTTTCGTACGGTACTGTCTCCCGTTCAGTCCGACTACGTTTCTCTTTATGGCACGTGGCTCTAGAAAACCTTGATATGAGATTTACACATGTCTTCCTAAAAATAGTGTCTCATGCACATGTTTTTGAAGGTTTTCAGTGCGGTAGCAGATCGATTTTGCACGATCGATTGCCGAACTTGATGCGAGTGCCCGCGTCCTTATGACTTCAGTACCACATTCTTTTCTCAACCACGCGTCTACATTGGTGGAAGTAGAGGATACATAAGCCATACAAGATAAAAAAAAACTCAGCAGCACTGGATTATCCAGTTATCAAGTTTCTTATGGTAACATAGAGACCAGAGCAGTAGAAAATACCAGATACACAGAAATTAAACTGCACCTATACCTCAAAACTGACAACAATTACCAAGTTCTTAGGGAGCTATGTGGACACTCAGCACGTAGCGACAAATAAGGAAATTGACCTCATCACAAGAGCAGGGTCCCACGGCATGGGGGAGTCAGGGGCAGATCAGATCAGTCTGGGAAGGGATGGTATAGAAAATAGAGTCAACAGATAGACAGTGACAGACAGTGTATAATTATTTACCACAGCCACACAGGTAACCTCAACTAAACCCTTCTAGAATCAATCTAGCCGGCGACAATCGACCAGTTGGGGTGTATTGTTCAGCCCATACCCTGTTTAGACACAATACAATGTACACGGTGGGTGCACAGTGCACAGCTTAAGGTAGGGTGTGCATAGTACACGGTGCAGGGTGGATGGGGGGAGGAGGAGCACAAGGAATGACAGCTGGAGGATTGAGGAGAGAGGCCAAGGTAGAGGAAAGTCAAGGGAGGGAGGGAGGAGGGAGGAGGGAGGAGGGAGGAGGGAGGAGGGAGGAGGGAGGAGGGAGGAGGGAGGAGGGAGGAGGGAGGAGGGAGGAGGGAGGAGGGAGGAGGGAGGAGGGAGGAGGGAGGAGGGAGGAGGGAGGAGGGAGGAGGGAAGGAAGGAGAAGGAGGGAGGGAAGAGGAAGGAGGGAGGAAGCAGGAAGGAGGGAGGAAGCAGGAAGTGGGAGGGAGGGGAGGAAGGAGGAGGAATGTGTTACGACTAAAGAGGATCTAAAACGTCAGTGATGCAGCCACAGCTGCACAAAAGAGCAGCCCTGCATGCCACCACCACCTGCTTCTGTCTCCATCCGCCTGCTTCCCATTGCCAAGACGAGCAACCTTCCAAGTGTCAACCACAAATAGCCACGCCTCCTGGCCCGCCAAGGGTGGCTACTCAGTACCTCCGCCCCTCCTGCTCTTCAACCCTGTGTTGAAGATGCCACGCCTTGCCCTGCTGCTCAGCCTGTCATTTCACTGCATCTCCCCTTCCCACTACTGGAGCTCAGACTTTTGCTGCCCTCCTGAACAATAAACCGAACGACGCAAACAACAAAACGCCATTCCAAATGCAACCCAAGAAGCGCCTTCCGAGCCAAGGCGCGCTTGCCAAAACTCCTCCCCTCCCTCCCCTCGTCCTCTTCTCCGCCCTCTCCAGCCCCTCTCCCCCTCCCTCCCTCCGCCCCCACCACCTCCCCTCTATTTCCTCTTGGACTTATAAATCCCCACGAGCACGCAGAAATACGCGAACCGCACAGCGAGCGCCATGCTGAACAGCACGGCGAGGCACTGCCACTTGGTGAGCTGGGAGATATCCAGCAGGTCGCTGTAGATGCGTTGGCCATACAGCAGGCAGCTGTCCTCTGTGATGCGCACGCCCGGCATGAGGATGCCCGGCAGGAACACGTCCAGAGCGGCCTCGGCGCGCGTTACGTTCACGTACGAGCGGATTGCTGCCACGTTCTCCATCTGGTTCAGGCGGAAGTAGCACGCCGTGTCCTCCCTGGGTGGGCACAAGGGGCAGGAGAGGTGGTGGGGGCGGAGGGGAAGGGGAACCAGGGAAGGGGGAAAGGAAAGAAGAGAAGGAAAGTATGAGTGTGGGGAGGTGTAGATGCGCGTGCCGTACGTGCGTGGGTGCATTTGGGGTAGGAGGGGTGGTGGAGAAGGGGAGGGCGTGGGTGTGATGTGGCTAAAACACGGGTACCTACAGGAAGGAAGCAATTGGAAGAGGTGGTGGTGCTGCTGCTGAAGACAGGTCATGCCTCAATACCATAAAGAGGCGCGTAGAAGTCGTTAGAATGTTTAGGGTTGTCAGAGAGGTGAGGGAAAGGGGAAAGAGGGAGGAACCGGGGGGAGGGGGAGGGGAGGGGAGGGGAGGGGAGGGGAGGGGAGGGGAGGGGGAGGGGAGGCAAGGGGAGGGGAGGGGAGGCAAGGGGAGGGGAGGGGAGGGGAGGGGAGGAGAGGAGAGGCGAGGGGAGGGGAGGAGAGGCGAGGGGAGGGGAGGAGGAAGGGGAAAGGGATCAGCGAGGAGGGCAAGTGCCCAAGAATTCGCGGAGGCATACCTATCAAACTCGTTGAGGACCATGGCCTCGCAGGCGTATTTGATGGGCGAGAGGTTGGATCCAGAAGGGCGGCCTTTGAGGCGCCTCAAAAGTAACCATCAGAGCAAGTGCTAGAGTATTCGCGTTGAGGAGGCATACCTATCAAACTCGTTGAGGACCATGGCCTCGTAGGCGTATTTGATGGGCGAGAGGTAGTGCAGCCAGATCCAGAAGGGCGGGATGGATGTACGCGGGATGTAGAAGCCGCTGATGATGGTGAAGTATGCCATGCAGCTGATCACCACTGCGTACGCCAGGATGATGCTGTGGGGTGGCATGAGGTTGAGGGCGGGGGCGGGGAGGGAAGGAGAGAGGAGTTTTGAGATGTCTCGATACAAACGTCTGAGAAGCCGCTGATGATGGTGAAGTATGCCATGCAGCTGATCACCACTGCGTACGCCAGGATGATGCTGTGGGGTGGCAGGATGGCAGGGGTGAGGGGAGCGGGTGGGGGGGGGCGAGGAGTGGAGATGGGGAGAGAACTGGGTTTTCTTTTGCTTGCCTCAAAGTGGAGAGGAGAGGAGAGAGATTGCTGACTGAGATAAGAAGCATGCTACCTGGTTGGTTCCAACCAGATAAGATACGACCTGGTTGCACACAGATACGACAAGACCACGCTGCTGTGAGAGGAATGGAGTGAACTCAAGGAAGGGAAGGGAACAAAAAGGGATAGCAACCAAAATACTGATGCCCTTAATGACAAGGGCAATTGACATCTCCACAGGCCCCTGGTGCACTGACCCTGCACGTAAGCCAACCACTCATGCCCCCCCGATGCACCAGCAGCATCATCGGTGGTGCTGCTACTCTGCTCTGCAAACCCCACCAAGCGTCACCGCCGCTCAGTGCTCTGCCTGCGCTCGCTGACCTGCTGAAGGCGGCGCTGCAGAAGGTGGCGATGGCGTTCCCAGTAAAGAAGAGGCATCCGAAGCAGAAGCAAAGCAGCGCCATGAAGAAAGAAGCCGCTGGCGCCACCTTTGAGAATTCTCAACAACAACGGCCACCGTCACTAACCTGCTGAGGAACGCGCTTCAGAAGGTGGCGATGGCGTTCCCAGAGAACAGGCATCCGAAGCACAGCAGCGCCATGAAGAAGAAGCCGCTGGCGCCGCTGCTGACAACTCTCAAAGGCAACCTTCACTGACCTGCTAAAGAAGGCGCTGCAGAAGGTGGCGATGGCGTTTCCAGCAAAGAGGCATCCGAAGCACAGCAGCGCCATGAAGAAGAAGCCGCTGGCGCCGCCCGAGAGGCCGACGCACCACCAGGACTCGAGCGTGATGACGAGCGCCATGAGGATCTGCAGCGGCATGTACACGAGCGCGTGCGCCACTACGTACGTCGACGTGCGGTACGTGTTGTGCGACGTCTCCCGGATGAATATGTGCCGGTCCTGTGGGCAGGGGAAGGCCCCCGGGGGGAGGGGGGAAGGTTGGGGAGGGAGGGGGGAGAGGGTGGGGAGAGGGGGAGTTTGAGGGGAGGAGGAAGTAGGGAGGGTTGGGTGAGTAAGCAGAATTCAAACAAAACAGTACAAATGATGGATGGGCTATAAAAAAATATATGCAATTATCCATGTCTCTACGCCATGGAGGACTAACGCACCTCAATGAAGATGGGAGTGGCATCAGCGGAGCAGAAAAAGAGAACAGCCACGATAAATGACAGGTATGCCAGCCGCTCCCACAGGCCCTTAGGCCTGATGTAAGGGATTAAAGGGCGGAGGGGGTAAAGGGGGAAGAGACGGAAATGGAAACCCAATCAGTTACAGATATAATTTATATTATTTCTATCTTGATGATCCATGAAGTGAGAGGCGAAGGGTGGGAGTCGGGAGGGGAGGTGAGGCAAACGAATATAGGGTACGCGGTGCAGGAGAAAAAGCAAAGCAAGGGAACGGAATTATCTACATCGATTAGGAAAGCGCGAAAAGAGGGGCGACAACACCATCATCGCAAAACACGGCGTCGCCGCAACCAATCGACAAAAACTCAACACAGTCGAATTCTAAACGGCCCGTGACGAAACACCCCTTCGCATCGTTTCGAAAAAAATCGCTTACGTGTGCGGCGGTTGCCAAAAGAGCGACGACAGCAGCAGCCCGGCGACGGTGAGCAGCCCCAGGCGCAAGCCGTACAGCGCGGGGTTGCGCGTAATAATCAGCGCCGCGCGGCGGAGCAAGATCCACAGCTCGCGCGGCCAGCTATTCGCATACCGCCTCGTGCCCTTGTAATTGCTCTCTACCACGCACTGCTGCTGCTTTTTCTTTAATTGCTCCTCCTGCCTCTGCCTACTCTCTTTCTTGAAAACCGACGTCCAGCGGGACGGCGGCGCGGAAACAACCTTCGACGACGGCGACCGCGACGGAGGCGCGCCACCCACACCGCCACCAACAACAGCATCATCAGCTCCCGCTACATCCGCTGCTACCTGTTCATGAGGAGCTGATCCGTCCGCATCGCCACTGGCGTCGCTGTCAATAGCCAAGCCTTCCTCCGGGATTGCCGCTGGCGCGGTCCGCGGCGGCACCGGGCGGCTCGTCGCCGTGTCCGCTGTGGTAGCTGGGAGCAATGCGGAGCTGCTGTCGTTACTCCCGCTGCTCTCGCGAGTGTCGCCGCTTTCACAAGTTTCGTCGTTCTTCGAGCCATCCCCGTTAGCAGCCTCTGCGATAGCAAAGCACTTTCCGCGAAGCCACTCCTGCGCGAACGCGTGTAGCTCATCCAATCCCGTCGGCGTCGCGCCGAGCCTGTCGAGCAGCTCGAGCGCATACTCCGTCGGATTCGCGAATTGCGGCACGGGCCGGCCGAATTCCGCGAAGAACGCGGGCATGCGCCGCGGCGCGCCGAAGAAGACGGCGTTGCCCGCTGAGAGCAGCATGATGCGATCGACGAGCTCGAGGATGCGAAACGACGGCTGGTGCAGCACCATGACGACGATGCTGTGCGACTGCACGGCGATGTCGTGCAGGATGTTGACGACGCGACACGCGTTCGTGGAGTCGAGACCCGAGGTTGGCTCGTCCAGAAAGAGGATCTTGGGATCGTGCACGATGTGCGCACCGATCGCCACGCGCTTCCGCTCGCCGCCGGACACGCCTCTGCAACGGGGAAGGACAACGGGGGGAGTAGGGAAAGGGGAAGGGGAAAAAAAGGGGCAAGAAAAGCATAAGGCATGAGACGGGCGTTCGAGGACAGGAGAGATGAGAGAGGAAAAACCCAAGGGCGGGGAGGATGGGAAAGCAGGAGGGGAGGAGGAAATTAACGGGAGGAAGAACCTTGAGAGAGGTGCACGTGCACCGAGGGGGAGAACGGAAAGCCGTCGTCCGTGTGCGAAGGTAACAGATTTAAATAAAAGTCATGGTCTACCGCATGGACACAATTCCACCCCTCGTGTAAATTCGCAACCCACCTCTTTGTGGCAACAACCCATTCGCAAACGACTGAGTAAGCCAGTTGCTGTCGAAGCGCATGTGATGACTTATCATAGGTATATAATTTAGGGCCCCTCCCTCTATCGAACGACCGGTAACAATGAAGGTAGGTAACGCACACACAAACTAGCGACATTCGCCAGAAAAAAACACGTCAGCAATCCCGTCCCGAATTGAAATATTCATTGCAATCCAGAATATCCAGTCCCGTCTCACCGCACCGGATGCATACCAACCAAATTGCACCGCACTTGACTGACTCGCAACACGTCGCATAATACCTTCTGTTTTCGTCGCCGATGATGGTGTTGGCGACGTGCGACAGCCCGAGGATCTCGAGAAGTCGCTCCACGCGCGCCTCCTTCTCCCGCCGCGAGAACAGCCTACTCGGCAAGTTCATTTCCGCAGAGAACATCAGCGTCTCGCGCGCCGTCAGCGTCGGATGCATCAGATCGTCCTGCATCACGTACGCCGACACGCGCCGCATCATATTACTCGTCATCGGAACACTGTCAAGCTCGATGTGCCCTGTCCGCCCGCATCCAGCGGCGGCGGCGGAGGCGCTAGGAATTGCCTGCCTGGACTGCTGCGAACCGCTGGGGGCGGCGGTGGCGGTAGCGGCGGCGATGCGGTGCGCAAGAACGTCGAGCAGCGTCGTCTTTCCCGAGCCCGACGGCCCAACGATTGCGGTCACCTCGCTGGACCGAGCGAAGCCCGAGATGTCGTTGAGAATGCAGCGATAAGCCTGCGTCGACTTTTCGTTCTCGGCAGCGTCGAGGCGCTCCCCGGAAGCGGCGGAGGCGGAGCGTGAAGACGAGGACTTGGACGAGTTTGACTCCACGCCGGCGCGAGAGAGGCACGAAAATGAGCTGGACCCGCGGCGGCGAACCGTGTACGCGATGTGGTGGAAGGAGAGAACATTCTGGGAGTAGTTAGCAAGAGACAAGGATTTTAGCGGGTCAGCGCCTGACGGACCGAGAACATTAACAACCGTGTGCGGACTCGGAGAGCCCTTAGCAGGCATGGGCGGGGAAGAAAAGGGTGTGGTGAGAGCAGAGGAAGAGGAGGAGGAGTTGGTCAAGGAGCTGGGTGGACTGAAACGGAGCGCCTGCTCGTCGGGCGCTAGGACACTGGAATGCACGGAGGACGGGGACTGGTCTGCTTCGACGCTTTCAGAGCCTGTTCTCATGGCTTGATAGCAAAGAAACGGAGATTAGGGGTGCCAAGATCCAAAGGAACGGAGTGTAACCCAGGTTCCCAGCCTTAAGGGCCAGCGCGAGTCGCGTATGAGTCTATGGTGACTTGTGTTGAGCTGAAATAAAGAGGGGAGGGTGCACTAAGTGTAGTAGGTGAAACGCGCAAGAAGCTGGTGAGGACGCTACCCCTGATGGGTAATGGGGTGACCTACACTGGAAGTCTACGCTTTTGTAGAAGACAGCTGATAACATAAATAAAAGAGCGCTGGAAGATCCAAAAGGACGAATATTAATGTTCTGGCAGAAGAATAGAAGTAGCTATGAGTCTTCTAGAAGACTGCTAAAGGAAAACATATGTGAATCTCCGAAACTGAGAGCACGAGTGAGAGGCAGCTGGGGGTAGGGATTGTAAGCGTTGGAACGGGGAGGGAGAGGCGGAGGAGGTTGAGAAAGGCAGCAACCGCGCGGCGAACTTGGGCCTCGACGGGGGGGTCGGTCTTGTGCAAGAAGCAGGACGGGCTGGTAGCGTGGTGGCGCTGGCGTTGCCAGGGGAAACTTGGCTGGTAGGAAATGGAAGAACCAGAATCTGGTGTACCTTGTTGGCGCAGGGAGAGGAAGCGTGAGTGGCGGCGGTGAGGGGGAAGCTGGGAAGGGATGAAGGGAGTGGGATGGGAGGAGGTGCCCTTGTGCCCTTGAATTGCAAATCCCCCTGACTGTGAAGCCGCTGACCAGGGGGGAAAGGGGAGGTGAGGGGAGGGCGGGGTGGGCAATGAGCGAGTGAGGGAGGGGGGAGCACACACTTTCCCGTGTGCCCATGAAGCGCTGTGCCGTCACGATGCGAAGTGGTGCGACGCGATACGACTCTAGGGAATCCCGAAATGCTGTTTCATTTGGCGGCGGCGACGAGGTGGCGCAACCCGAAAGAACTCTGCTTTTCCCAACCTAGACCGAACCAATACTTGCTTTATCCGAGCCTATCTCGTTAGTCGCACAGCGTCGTACATTGGGTCCTCGTCAAGTGCCGCAGCCTGTTGTGTCTTCCCTTGTGTGAGCAGCTTCACATCACACAGCAAAGACTACCCTGCCGGACCAGGGTGACTTCAGCTGGGAAAGGCAGCAAAAGCACATCTGGAGCGGGCGCTATGTGTTCGGGTGACTGGCTTGCGATGGTGCATCGTCGCTCATATGTACGTGGCGGGTTGCTACACAGTGCACAGTACCAAGACTGGTGGTCGCCCACTCCAGTCTACCAAACCTAAACCGTACCAGTCTACCAAACCTGACTGCGAACCGCAGTCACCATGAAAAGGAGTATTACCCTGAAACACCAAGCGTCGAAGTACAACTAATGCAAATTCCCTTGCCAAACTTGTGGCCGGTCTACATGAAAAATGTCGTGTCAAGTGGTGGAACACATTGGGGTCCTTGTGAATGGAACTACGACACACAGAGCAAACCGTGCGAAGTTTAATGAATGGGTGCCCCATTCAGGAAACGTCACTCACAACAACACTTGGAAACAGCGAAAAAAAAGAAGACACAGCTGTCTGGCTTTACAGTTCTGTAAACTTCTATTTCCATACACAGATGCCGAACCTTCTTACACAAGAGCACTGTGCAGAGCGGCTGAGTGGACCAAAACAATTGAGTCGGACAAACTGACTGTTTCAGACGTCGTAGTAGTCGTCGCACAACCATCGACTTCGCGGTAAGTTCGCAAAGGTTATCGCACACGAGTCAACAAAGTACGAAACGCAACAAGCTGCTTGCGGACATTCAGTGCCAATCAAAAACAGCAGAAGGCCAATCCTGCCCGAATCAGGCTTCAACACGACCAACATCCGCAACGTTGGCGTCGTCGCGTCAGAATTTTCATTTTTTATTGGTGCAGTGGAGATGGCGAAAGACAGGTGGCTCAATGCACACGTTTCTGCCTGACCCTTCGAAATCTTATGCCTTTATTTCCGCTCGGAAAAAACGAAAGGGTAGGACATTGCATTTCATCGCGTGTTAGGGAGATTCAATCCATAACTGCTTCCTGTGGTACACCCTGCGCTAAGCGTTTGCGCATAAATAATTGCTTTTCTCCTCACAGCCCAATGAAGAACGTGCCATCATCATGGCGAAACACGTGACAAGAAGGCTATTCGCGGCCCGCCCCAACACGCTTCTCCAATACGGGCGTGTGACGTGTACGCGGTTGCTGCACTTACGTGGTCATGTATTTCTCCATTCTCATTGGTTCTTCGGATATGGCGTTTTAGGTTGTTACGAAGGGATCCGTGATAAACTTCATAATCCACGTGGCAAGAAGTTGGTCAACAACAACTGCTGAGTCAGACGACAGACTAAGATCCAGAACTTTCGGAAGATCATGTTCCAGCTCCTGTAACCAGCTCGTTAAAACAATCCTAATAACGGATACACTAGGTACGTATATATGCGTGTGTATAAGAGGAAACCATCTTTTCCTTCCATCTTGGTGGGATCCACAATGCGTACAACAATGTTCAACATCTCACACCTTTCTACAATCGTTAACACGCATTGGCCTTGCCTGCCATCGCACACGCAGTTAACGGCTACGCTTTGATAATAGCCTAGGCGTCAACGTCAGCACTGTACAGCAAGTTGAACATTCGCACGCCCTTGTATCTTCCCCTTTGCTGACAACCTTATTTTCTCCGCTCATTGCGCTCGTAACACTTGATACTAGGGGCCCCTATCAAGATAGGCAGCCCGACAACTAGAGATTTTGCGAAAGGACGGGGCTGCTTAATTTTAACGTGCAAAACTACAACCTCGGACAATAAAGGCATCGAAAACCATTTTTACATACCAGCCGCACCCTCGTGACGAATATGCGCATGCTGTCGCACTGTACCATTCTTCATACATTTATGACAATCTCCACACTTTTAACTCATCCTTGCCGTCACTTCTACTGGTCAGTCCAGCAGTGTCTAGGTAACAGTCACTGAGTTGCCTTGGAGCCCTTCCTTCAATGACTTAGAGGCAGCTCGCCGATCATGTCCAGAGACCGCCGGTACTATCAACGTACACATGTAAATCTGAGTGTGTACTTTTTAGGCTAGGTTGGGTTGTACGATAAATGGTATGGGGTGTTAGTTATACCCCCTTTGTATGTCTTCAGTAACCAATCATGCCTGTTACTAACAAGCTACCCAACCTTTTTATCGGTGTGTGTTCGCCTATGCCTGCGAGCTTTGCACTCTGTTACAATCCCAAGTGGGACTTAACGAAGGATCGTTCTCAGGGTTGATCGCAGGGTAGTGTTGCAGCAGAAGAGTTGACCTCAGGTCAGAGTGAATGTAAATGACCGAGATGATTAAAAGCATGCATACATCAAGTTTATATAAGAGTACAAGGGAATACGAAACGACCTAGACTAGCCATGTACTCTAAGGGGTACATTCCCTTATTGCAGTGAGTTCAAACCGTGCGGCGCGGGAACCCGTTTTGAACCTGTTCCCGCTCTTTTCACTTTGAATGTTTCTGCCTGCATCGGTCTTGATCAGATGGTTGCTTGGTGTCGTTTCGATTCTTCTGACTCCTCGACTTCGTACTCGGTAGAGTCGGCTCTGTCAGAGGTCCACTGGTGATCCCCGATTGATCCTAGGGAAGGGTTACAGGCACGTTGGCCTGGGGGGTTATGGGCGCACTTACCCGCTACTTAAACAAGCCCTTTTATCCCAATGGTCTAGTGGTTGGGATTCTGACATGGTATCAGAGCAGTCTCGGGTTCGATTCCCGGTGTATGCACATGTAGGCCGGTGCCGCTGTGCTTAGTCCTGGGCCTCCCAGTGTGGGGGGGTGTCAGTAGATCTGCACTGTGGATCCCCGATTGATCCTAGGGAAGGGTTACAGGCTCGTTGTCCTTGGGGGTTATGGGCGCACTGACCCGCTACTTAACAAGCCCTTTTATCCCAATGGTCTAGTGGTTGGGATTCTGACATGGTATCAGAGCGAAGGTCTCGGGTTCGGATCCCAGCGTGTGCACTTCGGGCATCCCAGTGCGGGGGGGTGTCAGAGGTCCACTGGTGATCCCCGATTGATCCTAGGGAAGGGTTACAGGCACGTTGGCCTGGGGGGTTATGGGCGCACTTACCCGCTACTTAAACAAGCCCTTTTATCCCAATGGTCTAGTGGTTGGGATTCTGACAGGCTCCTGCAGCATACAGGAATGCCTTACTCGTTTTTCATATCGTAACACTCCCCTTCATTCCTGGGCGCGCAGAGGGCAGACTCGCTTGACCACTCCGGTGAGGTCGGAGCAGTGTTTGTACTGCTGACGTGACAGTCGCTTGGTGAGGAAGTCAGCTGCCATCTCGGTGGTGGGACAATACGCGAGGTCAACTTTGCCCTGGTCAATTTCGTCCTTGACGAAGAAGTACCGAAGCGCGACGTGCTTCGTGCGGTTCACGAATCCTGGCTTGTTCGCGATCTTGATGGCGCTCTGGTTGTCGCAGTGAAGGCGAAAGGTGGGCGAGGTTGGAATATTCGCTTCCGGCATTAGCTCCTGCAGGTACAGGCCTTCGCGAACTGCTGCTGTCGCGGCGATGTATTCTGCTTCGGTCGATGACAGGGCAACCAGCTCCTGCTTCTGTGAGTTCCAGGAGATTGGTCCTGTTGGCTCCAGGTGAAAAACAAAGCCGGTTCGGGACCGTCGTTTCGCAGGATCAGCGGCATGATCTGCGTCCACGTAGCCGCTGAGGTTGAAGGAGGTTGTAGTCAGCGTGGAGTAGGAGAGCCTGATGTCAGGTGTGGAGATGAAGTACTGCAGGGCGCGCTCCAGGTCCAGCTGGTTCTCAGCTACTTGCTTGCGAGAGTATTGTGCCAGTTGGCTGGTGATGTACGAAAGGTCGGGTCGGCAGGTGACAGAGGCGAACAACAGGCACCCCAGTTTCTGCTGGTACATTTGGAGTCCTGCGGGCGACAGAGGTTTGTTGTCCGGTTTGTAGTTGGTGCTGGG